ATCTATATGTGTTTACTATCATTGCTTTTTTTCCCCCCTCCTTGGCCTTATTTCTCAGCCAGGACTTGGGTCTCGAACATCTTTTTGAATTCCTGCAGGATTTTGTCCTGCAAGTTTATGCAAGCTCTCTGTGGACCCGACAGGGCTGCGATTTGGGGGCGTTGAACGTGCCACCAGAATGTCGAACCCACGGGGCCCGTGCAGCATAAATAGAAAGAGTCTTTATGGTTGTGCCTCTCGGTCCCTTGAAGCTGAACGAGCGGATGAAGTTCTGGCCTCGGTGAAAACTGGGGCAGCCCCGTGACTGTGTCGCTCACCCAGGTACAGAAAAGCCCCCTGGCCACGTGAGGTCACAAAAGGATGGAGTTTTAACTCAGAGATAGAAGAGCTGATGATCCCCAAGTAAATATCAAATCTCAACTTGATTTGACATTTAAATCTGACTCTCCGCACGGCCCCAGGTTTTGGCTAAGGGGTGAACCGCCGGCAGGTAAGCGCCATCCTACTCACCTGTACCCCCCCCCCGCCCCCCCGTGCACTTCCTCCCTCCCCCAGCTCTCCCAGCCTGGCGCCCAGTCCTTCCACGGGGTGGGCACTGGGAAGAAAAGGGAAGTTGGAGTTGGGAAAGTTTCTGGTTCTGTCATAAGATGATGTCACCGCTGGGGACTGGCGGGAGTTTAAAAGTTGATTCTCTCACGGCCCATTTCGTTACGTCACCAGACACGCGCCTGGGAATATTTAACATAATCTCTGGGACCACACACAGCGCATCTCTCCTGGCTGACAGCTTCCCACCAGCCTCTCTGCTGTTTGGCAGTGCCCTGTGCATGCACCTGCTGGGGGGGGGGCCCACAGACCACCCCTGCCAGGCAGTCTCCTTGGGCGAGAACAGAAATCCTCCTGTCAGTGCCCTCTCATCTGGTCCCTGGAAAGAAGCTCATAAAACCAACTCTGAAAGTATAGAAGCACCCCAAAGTAGTGGCAATTTTTCTCTACTTCCCTCGCCAAGCAGCTGGCTGGCCTGTGTCTTGCCCTCTGACTTCCGGTGAGGTCGGTCTCAGTGCCCACTGCTTCTTTAACCCTGGGGACCGACACTGGGCTCGCGTGGCAACTCGGTCATTGCTGACACCCGCCCTGCCTTCCTCCCTTCCATCCAGGGCAGATGGCACTAGCAGCCCTCAACCAAAAAAAGAAAAAAGAAAAAGAAAAAACAAAACCCTCCGTATCGTTGCCACTGTAATCTCTTTGTCCCCAGTATCCATAAGGGGTCTCAGGAGTCGCGATACCTGTGTTTACGATTGCTTTGTAAACCCTGCACATCGAAGATCCATCAGCCCTGCCACATCAGTGAAAATGTCGACTCGCGATTTGATACATAACCGTCCGGGTTTGGCATTAGCGAGCAACAGCCGCCTGCTTCACGATTTAACCCTATTTACCTGGGCGCGAGCTGCGCCCAGCGTCCGGGGAGAGGTCCCCTGGGGGCTTAGCAGCTTGTCTCCCAACCTCACATTCTGAGCTTCCCCCACAGCCCGGTCTCCCTCGTCAAGGTGTGACTGTCAGAGCCCCGGCCCGTGGGGTGCGGATTATCAGGGACAGGGGACTTCTTCTGTAAAGGACCAGAAAGTAAATGTTTTAGAACTGTGGGCCGTACAGTCTGTGTCGCAATGACTCAACTCTGTAGCGGAGCAAAACCCACCTCAGACAATTCGTGAACAGCTGAGTGTGGCCGCTCAGGGATGCACAGAGCAGGTGCCTGCATCCGGCCCCTGCGTCACATTTCACCGGGCCTGGATTGGTTCAGTGAACGGAGAAAGAGAACGGCGCCCCCTGACTCCACTGCGGACTTACCCCGGGGCAGGAATGGAGGGAAACCCCAGGGGAGTGATGGACAGCCCACAGGCTGGGAAGGACTGGAACCTGCTCTGTTCAGCAAAAGTAAAGACTTGAAAATTTTAGTTCTGGGATTTGAAGAAAACCTACAAATTCAGGCTGGAAAAGGATCACTTTTTTTTTTTTTTTTTAAATAGCAGATTGGTGCAGCCACTGTGGAAAGCAGTAGGGAGATACCTCAAAAAAGTAAAAATGGACCTGCCTTTTTTGACCCAGTGATCCCGCTTCTGGGAATTTATCCAAAGGAACCCAAAACACTAGTTTGAAAGAACTCAAGCGCTTCTATGTTCCCTGCAGTGTTATTTATAATCACCAGGTTGTGGAAGCTGCCCAAGTGTCCATCAGCAGATGAGTGGATAAACATAAAACACCTATGGGTCATTTACACAATGCAATACTTCTCAGCCATAAAATAAAAAAAGAAAATTTTGCACTTTGTGACAGTATGGATGGACCTGGAGAACATTATGCTATGGGAAATAAGTCCAGTCAAAGAAAAGACAATACCATATGATTTCACTCATACATGGAACCTAATGAATAAAGTGAACTAACAAGCAAAATAAAGGCCGACTCACAGATGGAGAACAGGCCGACAGCTGAGGTGGGGTGAGGCGTAGGTGGGTGGAGGGATTGAGCAAAAAGGAAAAAGGACTCAAGGACACAGACAGCAGTGTGGTGATTGTGGGGGAGGAGGCGATATAAGGGGGCTAAATGGTGATGGAAAAAATACAATATCTTTTTTTTAAAGAAAAAAAAATAGCAGAGTGTGATGTTCAGCACCTGGAAGGAAGAACAGGGGAGTCCACACTGAGGAGTGGTCGTGACCCTCCGCCATTGTCAAAGTCGCTACAGCTTCCCCCCCAGCAATTTCGCCTTCCAACACGTTGACCTACCTGCCTGGACACCACCCTCACTTCCGCCCTTTGCTTCGAGGAAAAGTGGTTCACGCAGCAGTTCAAATACGCAACCCTAACGGAGTGTGCCCAGCGGGCTTCGACACCCACTTTCCTGCCAGCTTTCCCCCAGACTAGGAGGCCTCCCTGCCCCAGCCAGGCAGCCGGGTGCTGGGGAATCCCTGACCTGAGACCCCAAGAGCAGCCATCAGCCGGGGCTGACAGCGCAAAGTAACTACCGCGACTCCCTCGCCCCTAGAGTGGATAACCGAGGTGTGAGTTACACCCTTTTGCGCTCCATGCCCCCCCGGAGGGGAAGGCAGTTTGGTAATGAACCCTGGGCTGGCATCTTCCTTTTCCTGCATCCCTTCCCCGTGCCCTTCTGGACTTTTCTGTACTTTCCAACTAAACCCTTTGCTCTCACACCGTTGCTCGGGCCCTGCTCTCGGGGCACTCCCAGCCTAAGCAGGATGTCTCTTTGTATCCTTTCTGAAATGGCTTCTTTCTGCTTTCTGCAACAGGGTCTGTGGGACCCCCGCCGCGTTCCATGAGAGTCGTTTGAGTCAGAGGGGTCTCTTCTGCTAACCCGTGAGTGAGTTTTCTGGAAATGGGTCTCGTCTGACTTTGCATCACGGGCATTTTCGCTAGTCCGTGGCACGGTGCATGAGTCTCGTGTTTGCCAACTACAGGAAGTGTGTCACGTAGGGACCGGCCCTGCACCACTAAGCACACGTAGCAGCCACTAGCCGCGTGTGACAATTACAGTGGAACAAAAATGAAAATTCTACTTCTTCAGTCACACTAGCCATGTCTCAAGTGCTCAGGGCCGTGCGTGCTGGTAGCGACCACACCGGCCGGTGCAGAGGGGCTGGGCTGGGCTGGGGGGCGCAGTGGAGCACCCTGAATCCGTGACTTGGGTGTGGGCAGCTTTCAGGGGCCAGGGGAGCATAAATGAGCACGGACACCCTGCACTGTGGTTACCTAGGGCAGACGCCGCTTCACAATGCAAGTCTCTCTCTCTCTCTCTGTTTTTTTACATGTGATATATCTTCTTTTGGCTTTTGAATTTTTTTCAATCAACCATATGAGTATATTTCTCCTGGTGCTTTGACCCCTGATGCTCTCTCTCGGCCAAATTCTTCGCCGGGTGCCCCTGGCACCTCTCTTACCAGCTCGGGGGTCTTTCCTCGCCTCCACACTCGCGTTTGTCTGCTCACTCCCCTCCCCCCACCCGCATGGCCTCGGGGCCTCCACCCCATCCTCCGTGTGTTACCAGCCTTGTCTCCCTAAGGCACCCCGCTGATTGTTTTACTCCCCTGCGTGAAGCCCTTCACTAGCTCCCCTCGCCCCCGCAAGATGCCTTGCCTGACATTCACGGCCTTTCCCGGCCCACCCACCCACCCCTGCCCTCCCTATCACCCCACGCGTGTTCCTGCTCTCCCCTCTCGCATGCATATTGGGCGTGTTGTTGTCTTAAGGTGCTTCCCCACATCCTCCCCACCTTTCCAACCCTGTTCCTCTTTCAGAGGCCTGCTCGAAAGCCACTTCCTCTATGAAGTCTTCCTCTCTCAGATTCCTGCTGGAAACGCTTCCTTCCTTCCTGGACCAGGCAGAGCACTGAGCGTGCTCCTCTGTGCGCTGGGATCCCGGGTCTCCTGTCCCACAGCCCTGGCTCAGTGGAAGGTCTCACGGAAGCAAGCATTGTGCTTGTCTTAGACGTTTCCGCCTCTCTCACTTAACCAAAAGCAACGTTTGTGCATCCTGTGTGCATCCCCTCACACCCAGGTGTTGGATGAACGGGGAGAAGGGCGTCTAAGAGGACAGTGTACACACATTTCGGGGCTAAGAAGTGTCTATGAGCAGGGTCTGTAGTCTCTAGACTGAAGGTACCAGATGGTTCTTCTTCCGCTGAGCCCTCATGGGAAACGCGGTCAGTCGGTGGGCATAGAAAATGGATTCGATGTTAAGAATATTCAGAACAGGTGTGACAGACCAGGATGCTGCTTGAGAATACATAGCCATAACTTAAAAGTCGAGTCTTTGCATCAAGCAAGAAAAGACCTAGGCACATTAAGAAGTAATGTAATTGATTTATTGTATTTTTAAAAAATATTACATTGAGATGTTAATTTTTTAAAAGATTTTATTTATTTATTTTTAGAGAGGGAAGGGAAGGAGAAAGAGAGACAGAGAGAAACATCAATGTGTGGTTGCTGGGGGCCGTGGCCTGCAACCCAGGCATGTGCCCTGGCTGGGAATCGGACCTGTGATGCTTTGGTTCGCATCCTGCATTCAATCCACTGAGCTACGCCAGCCAGGGCTGATTTATTGTATTTTGTGAAATATGTTTCATGCAATCAATAGCTGGCCGAAGTTAAGATTTCAAATATACAAAGTTTTACCTGTCTGTAGCTGCATATACTAACTATTGAACATGCAGCTGCATTGAAATGCACTGAACTTTTCAGAGACTCAAGCAAAGCTCTGCTTTTTGGGGTTGGCAATAAGTACGCTGCCCAGCCACTGACCTGTGGTAATGAGTTTGGGGTGCATAGGTGTACCACGACCACTGTGAATATATTTTAATGTCTTCAAGAGCTTCTCCAGGGTTGCACTGGAAGTTCAAAGGTCTGGTATAGGGGTCAATGTCATTGGCTCCGTGTATTGACTTCATGTGCCCAGAGCATTTTCTTAAGGCAACTTTTAGCATCTCTCCTAAAAGACACCAATGAGTTCCTGCTCCATGGTTGATGGAGATGCAGAGCTGGCTCTTTCTGGCATCTCACTAGGACAAAATCGGATGGACGTGCCCGGGCACACAGCCAAGTGCCGGCGGAAGAAGTGGCGGAGGTGCTTCCGGAACCTCTCGCCAACGAAGGCGTAAATCACGGGGTTGATGCAGCTGTGCGTGTAGGCGATCACCTCTGTCGCCATGATGGCCACGTCCAGCTGATTGCTCCGCTTACAGCTGCTCTCGAAGAGAGTCATTTGGAAAGCGTGGAGGAAGAGAGCCAGGTTGTAGGGTGTCCAGAAAATGAAGAAGACCACCATGATGACAAAAATGAGCCGGATGGTCTTGTACTTCATCCTGTTGGGGCATCTCACCAGGGTTTTAATGATGCCCGAGTAGCAGACTACCATAACGAGCAGAGGCAGCACCAGACTCAGGATGTTAATTCTCACAATGTAAAGGCGCTTCCAGGTGTAAACGTCTCCCTCTGGGAAAAGGGAAACACAGGAGAAATACCCCTGCTCATCTTGGGCCCTAGAGAAGACAATTTCAGGGACGGCTATCAGCACTGTCAGGACCCACGTGACGGAGCTGCTTATGATACCGAAAAACACGGTCCGGGCTCGGATGGCAAACATGGCGTGGACAATGGCCAGGTACCGGTCTATGGTCAGCAGGATGATGAAGAAGGTCTCCCCATACAAGCCCATGCTATAAAACCCTGAGAGCAGCTTGCACATGTCATAGCCAAAAACCCACTGACCCTGCTGTGCATAGTGAATCCAGAACGGCAGAGTGATTAGAAAGAGCAAGTCAGAAATCGCCAAATTCAGCAGGTAGATGTTGGTCAGAATGGAGAGGCGCCGGTATTTTATGAGGATCACCACCACCATCACGTTGCCCAGCAGCCCAACCCCAAACACCAGGCCGTACAGCGGGGGCAGCAGCTGGGCTATCAGTTGCTGGACATTGTATTTCTCACAGGGCTCTGTAAATATATAATCGTAACTAGAGGTCCCGTAGGCCTGTAGCTCAGTCATGGGCTCGGCTGCTGGGGTTGCCATTTTTCTTGTTCCTATGATAGAAGAAGAAACAACGACCCCACAGTTAGGCACGACCACTCTTTCTGAATCCTAGTTGATTTATTATTTACCCAACAAAACCCCGTGGGATAAACTGCCTGTACATTTACAGGTATATATCAGAGCTGCCATGGGGGAGGAGTCAGAAATGCAAAGGAAGTTTTGAAAGGCGACGTGACCGGCTGTGAGAAAAGAGACAGGAATGGGGTGGGTGGCGGTGAAGAATGGGAGTGTTGACTTCTGAAAGGAGTTGAAAGAAGAAGTATAAACCAGGGGGGAAAAGAACCCAGGCTGGATGGTAATCCTATAATAATTACTATTACGACTGTAACTTTTAAGCATTTTGCGTTTTACTGTGTATAGATGACCTTCCAAATCACCTTACCGATTTAAAAACCAAGTACTTTCCATAATCATAATGATTCGTATTGTTACAAATAACTGCCCCTGTCCGTGGCCCCACGGCAAGGAGCCGTTCACCACAGCCGACGGGGAAACTGAAGCTTGAAGAAATCTAGCGATTTCCCCCGAAGCCTCTGACAAGTAAATATAAAAGTTCAGGCTAGATCTTCAGTCTCTGTGTCCAACAGTCTCTTCGTGAGATTCAAATGCAGTGATTTTTAAAGCTGACTTTTGATGGCATGGCTATGGGAATTATTATGAACTATTATGACAATCACATTATAAGCAGTATCGACCCAGGTTAATTGACTCCTTTTCTGCCCCTCGTGATACGGACACAGCCTGGGCAGCCATCAGGAACAAACCCCGTGCCTCCTCCTTCACAGGGGAGCTGCATGGGAGGGCGAGGCCAGTGGGATTTCTTATTGGATTTGATGTTTTTATATATATATATATATTTTTAATTTTATTTTAATCATTGTTCAAGTACAGTTTTCTGTCCTTTCCTCCCATCCCAGCCCACCCACTCTTCCCTCCCCAACTCCCTCCCGTTTCCTCCCCTCCTAGTTTTTGTCCATGTGTCCTTTATATTTATTCTTATAAACCCTTCCCCTTTTCCCCTGAAATTCCCTCCCCTCTCCCCTCGCCCCTCTGGTCTCTGTCAGCCTGTTCTCTGTTTCAGTGTCTTTGGCTGTATTTTGTTTTGTTGTTTAGGTTCCTGTTAAAGGTGAGATCATATGGTATTTGTCTTTCACTGCCTGGCTTGTTTCGCTTAGCATAATGCTTTCCAGCTCCATCCACGCTGTTGCAAAGGGTAGGAGCTCCTTCTTTCTTTCTGCTGCATAGAATTCCACTGTGTAAATGTACCAGAGTTTTTTGATCCACTCATTTACGGATGGGCATAAGACCAGGATCCCTAGGGTCAGGGCCTGCTTTTCTTACAATGGCAGACCTCCCCAGAGCAGGAGGAAAAACAGACAAGGAGGAAGCCCGAGGAAGGACAGTTAGTCCCCACCCTTCGTCCTTGAAGGGGCCCTGCTGATTTTCTCCTTCCTATGGGGAGGATGGAGAAGGACATGAAGAGATAAGTCAGTAGGCGTTTTGCAAGGTAAGTCCTGCAAACGCAGTAATTGGAGCCAATGGCAAGGATTTGCCATCAGATTCTGAGCCCCCGAAGGTCAGCCCAGGCAGGGTTCTGTGGAGGTGGGGTAGGCGCACAGCGGCTGGTCTTAGCTGCTGTCTCACCAGCCGCAAGACTGGGGCCAGCCCTTACCTCTGAGGTTCAGCTTGTGTGGCTGGGCACTGTGCTTAGATGTTCTGGAGTGAACATCAGAAAGGCACCTCAGGGTTCATGATCATTCAAACCTCCCTGTCTTTGAAGAGGCAGGGACCCTTTCCCCGAACCCTCAGACACCTCCCCTCATGCAAGCCAGAGCTCCTCCTAAAGAGCAGCGACAGAGAGAGGCTGGTTTGACTCCAGGCGCCCCAAGGAAAACCAGTGCCCCGGACTCCATCCACCTCCTTGGTCTTGAGCATCAGCACCCATAGCGCCTCTGAATGACAGAAATATTCATTTTTCAGCACGGATCAAATAAGGCGCAAAATGGCACGTTCTTTACCTTGTTTGATGGATTTTCCCCCTTATTGTAAACAACCACCTGGGAAGGGGAAACTACTGAGAAGAGAATGGTCTCTGAGTTCGGGAAGTTGACATTCTTTGCACGTAACCGATGCAAGGTAAGAGTCTGTCATAGTTGTGTCTTGCTTAGGTCAGGCACTTTACGTATGTTTGCTTGTCCTCACGACCTTGCAAGGCGGGCACTTATATCCCCACTTCACAGATGAGTAGAGAGAGGCTCGGGGGGGGGGGAGCTCAGTCACTACAGCACTGTTAGGGCATGACAGAGCTGGGACTCCGTCCTATGTCCTTGGTCTCCAAAACCCACACCGTCACTGCCATAGGGTTACATTTAGGAAGAAGCTCCACACCCCCAAATTACATAAATATTGATCTATATTTTAGCATCTAAATGTTTATCTATATTTTAATATCTGTATGTGTCATTTATCCATAAAAACCTATAACACATTTTAAATGTATTTTGTTATATGGCATGAAATGCATTTCTCTTTTAGTTCTGTCTACGCGGTTGACAATTTAAAGACACCATATGTTGAATACCCGCCCTCGCCTCCTTGGGCATCAAACACCAGCTTTGCCATGTATTCTCGAATGTTCCTGATTCGGCCTGTGCACTGCACATGCCACTCCACTGGCCGGGCAGAGAGCAGCAGGTGCAAACAGCCTGGGGTAGGAGAGTGCCTGGATATGACTGTAGAAGGAAAGGGGGCCAGTGTGGCCAGAAAGGAGTGACTAGTGGCTACAAATTATTTGAAAGTATAATTTGTAGCCTTGGCTGGATAGCTCAGTTGGTTAGAGCTAGAGCTTCATCCTGTTATGCCAAGGTTGTGGGTTCGATCCCCAGTCAAGGCACATACAAGAACCAACCAATAAATGCATACATAAAGGAAAATATAGTTCACAATGACCCCAACATATTATATAGATATTCATGGTTATTTTAATCACTGTCTTGTTGATGCATAATGAAGTTTCCCCCAATTTTCACTTTTATAAATAATGCTGCAGTAAACATATTTGTCGGCAGTTTTTCTTATTTTCTTAAGGTAGATTTCCCAAAGCACCATTTCTACTTGCAATGTATTTCTAAGGCTCTTGATGCATTTTGCTAAACTGTTTCTAGAAAGGGTATAAAAATGCACACACACACACACACACACACACACACTGGGCTTTGGTGAGCGGTGACGCCTGCCTCAGCGTGCATCCATCAACACAGAGAAGATCTAAAAGAAAATAATTACTTGGCCAATTAAGCGGGCAAAGGGATGTCACTATTGTTGTAACTAACATTTATTTAATTTCTTTTTAAATTGTAACGATTAGTCGTACGTACTTTCTTTACCATGCATTATCTGTGTGTGCCTTTACTCATGTAATTCTGCTGAGTGTATCTCTTTTTTCTTATTGAGCCACGCAGTTCTTCCCCGGCAGAAGTAACTCGGCCTGCATGGCTCAATGTCATGATCAGCACCTTCTAACAAGGGCTGTGTGTGTGTGCCGACTCCTCTTGCTGCCACGTGCCAAAGACCCCATGTTCCCGCCTTCCTACCCAAAGCACTTGTCAGACAACAGTTAGCTTCCATCTCCAGCCAATTCAAGGCGGCCCAGCTCTAAAAAGCTCTCTATCCCTGCCCTCCGGCACAGGTCCAGGTAAAGCAGTCAACCTTGTAGAATCAGACAAAAAGACTCCAAATCCGTCAACTGATTCATCTAACAGCCTGACTCAGAGTGGATTTCCAATGAAAACTTGAGACATATATATACATATACAAATGTAACATATAAATGTACGCACACACATATATGCCAACTGTATTTTCACGGTTTCTTACAAGTCGGTATGAATAAACACAAATCCACTCAGTGTGACCCTTTGGAGTGGCCATCTTCTCAACAGCGGAGGATTCAAGAAAGCCTGGGCCGTGTGGGCGCAGCTCTGGGCATGTGCACTGAGGGGGCATAAGAGGCGGACTCTGGGTGAGTGGGACAGGCAGACGTATCGCAGCGTGGTCGGGACAAAGACAGGGAAAATGGGAGAAAGCGAGAAGACGACAGAAGTGTGTCACAATACACCCTCCTCCATGCTACCCACTAAATGGGGGTGAGCCTCCCTCCCCTCCACCCCCTTGATTCAAGGGCACTCCTGAGAGGTATCACTTCCACCTGCCTAGACCCCTCGCTCTATCTCCTTTTTCCTAGAAACCTGACAGTCTAGCTGGAAGTCTCTTCTAAATGAACAACTTCTGTGTCATTTAACGAGTTCTCCCCCAGAGAAGAATAAAAAAAGTGGTACCTGGTAATTTAGTAAAGTCCTTTATGCGTCCAGTGATAGCTTAGGTCTCACCACTGGCGAAGTGGAGATACCATCTGTTCAGAGACATTAGAAGATGAGAAAAACACCAACTTCCTTATCTGAACAGGCTGGTGTTTCGGATTTTGCAAGTTTGAAGAAAGATATGAAGCTGGCTACTACGCACACTCGATGTTCAGTTGAGTAACCCTGGACGTGAACGTGGCTGGCATTCAGCAGTGTTTTTTTCCTCTGGGTGGTCTGTATTTGCTTGGAATGGCTCATTTTTGAGGAAGGGGGGAGGATCATTCTTGAATAAAATTGCTTTAACCCATGGGGAGGCAGGATAATAAAACAGTATTGGAATTGCCCTGGGGAGGAGGAAGAAGGGGATAACTTACCATTCTGCAGAGCTCAATGGGAGACTTCGAGGAGGTGGGGTGCAGCGCAGGTTTACACACCCCAAGAAAACCTGAGTTCGAGTTTCAGATGGAGCTCCTACTGCTGCACGACCTTGGGTTAATCATGTAATCTTGCTGGACTTCACCTTTCTCACCTGTAAACTGCAAAAAATAGTGACTATGCCACAGCGTGGGACTAACTGGAAACATAGGTAAAAGGGCCGAGCAAACATAAGGTGTGGGCAGAGCGTCATCCTAACCTAAGCCGCGCAGGACAGAGCCAAGTGCCTGCTCGATGCGCTGGGGTGCTCAGAGGGCTCAGCCTGGGGCTGAGCACAGAGCGGGAGCTCACCCTGTGGTTGTGGGAAGAGCTCTGACCATGTCTGGTGTGACCTTTGATGAAGTGGCTAAGTGGACGGGTCGATGCAATTTGTCCCATTTGGTATCATCTGCCACGTATATAGGGCTGTGCTCTATGCTTCAAATACACAGAAAAGAAGAAAGGACACTCTGCGGGAAAGTCATCTGGGGCCCCGACTTGAGGGTGCTTACCAGTCAGCAGCAGCTCACTGGGTCAGCAGAGTCCCCCACTGGAGAAGAGGTAGAGAAACTGGAAGCTTCTGGTCTGGAAAAGAGAAGTTAAGGAGGTATCAGAGAAGGGGCCTGTTGCCATGGGTTTTCTGAGGCACCCCCGGGGTGGAGAGGTTACCAGGAGGCAGATTTCTGGCCCCTGGGACGAGAGCAGTGTCAGCAGGGTGCCCCAGAAGGGGACCCACCCTGGAGCCCGCTGATGGAGCCGGGGGAGCCCAGCCTGCGTGTCCTTCCGTGTGCGGGTCACTCACACCCGTGAGGGCGGCTGCTGGGTCAGGGGCCAGGCCTGCCCTGCCAGCTGCTGCCTGCCCCTCCGCCTGCACGGTGTGGGAACAAGGTATTAACCAAACACATGAAAGAAGGAAGTAAGCGTTGTCATTTTTGTAATAAAAAATTTTATGTAAGAATAAGGAAATCTTTCTCTGTAGGTGAGGGGTTGAATAGAAAATTCCAGAGTCCTCTCCCAACTCCACTTGTGTTTGTTTCTCAGGACTCCCTTTCTGCCCTGAACCACCCCCCGCCAACTTAAGCCCCAGGGGGTACCCGCTGGCCCCCAGACATGCCTCGGACAGGCCCACCATCTCATGTTCGGTCCCTTAACTTTTTCCTTCTCCTCTCCTTTCTGCTGGGCCGAACCCTACCTGCAGTCAGGCTCCGGCTCCCGTACGGAGAGATCCGTTTCTGCGTAGAAAAAGGGCCTTCGTACCACTCACTTGGCGATGTGCTCTGGCTTCCTGGCCTGTAAACGAAGATCATATTAGCACCTAAGCCGGAGTGGGCAATGGGCGGGGTAACACAGGAAAGGGCCTGGTTTGCACAGTGCCTGGCTTGTAGGGTATGGTCAGCCAATGTCCACCACAGTGAGCCGTGTCTTAAAGGAGCAGGCCCCGGGTAATCACCTGCTCCTCTGAGGTCCCGCAGCATCTGTGGTCTACACAGCTGTCTAGTGCTCAGGGTCACCTGAAGAGTCCTGAGCGCTCCCCTCTCCCCTGGCCCCTTTCCTGCCTGGGCTCTGAGCAAAGGAAGAAATCGGAGGGCCAAGAGTGAGCTCGTTATACCAACCGGACCTCCACAGATAGGTCTACTGAAGGAAAAAGGACAGAGCTGAGCCAAGCGCAGTCTTTCCAAAGCTGACCGATTCAAAAGCCACGCCGCGTCCGGCCAAGGTGGGGGCCCGTGCGCCCACCCCGAGACCCCTGCACGAGGCGCGAGGGGCGCAGGCATGAGGGCTACATGTGGGAGTCACAGTCGGCTGCCTCCGAACTCGTGGCTGACTTGCAATTCTCCTCAAGTGATCGAAACAACCAAAGAACTTCATTTCTCTCTGCAGCAAGCTAAAGTGCTGGTGACGGTGGTCAAGGAAAGCCGGAATGAAGAGATCTAAAACGGCGATCATTCTGGGGCGGAAAACAGAGGTTTGGGATAACGAACTCAGGGTGGGGAAGTGTTGTATTTAGCAGTGACTCAGACCTTTGTGGGGGTGGCCCTACTGTGTGCTCCACGTGGAAGCAAGGCATCATGGGAACACTGGAACTGGGTGCTCTGGTCAGGGTGACGATTTCTCACCAATCGAGACATCAAGCTTCAGAAGACGTTAAAAGGGGGGTTAATGTATGCAAGGAGAAACACAGGCTCACGTGCTTCTTGGTAGAAATGTGCTGAGGAGTCTGTGCAGACTCGGGGGCGGGTATGGGGCGGCTCCGGCAGACCCGGCTCAGGCTCCCCACGCGCGGCCCGAGTCTTCCTCCTCAGCTGTTTTTGGTGTCAAAGGCCCGCGTGTCTTTCAGGTTGGGGCCCCCCTTTCACTCTCCACTGGATTCATTAAACTAACGAGTCCACCCAGTGGACCCGAGGTCTCAGGATCCGGGCGTCAGCGTGGAAGCTGGCAAGGAATTCCACGCCAGCGTCCTCCACGGAAGGACTGTCCGGTGTCACCCAGTCTGCCGTTTCTGGAGCCAGACGTGCTGCCGTCGAGCCACGAGGCTGAGTCTGCTGTCTCTAACCGAGGGCGTGGCGGGGGACCTCCCAGCTTTCTACGTCACGATTCCCTCCCACACGGTGTGGGAAACACTCGTGCAGACCCAGAGGACACTGGGTCTCTGAGCAACCCTGCAGCGGAGAACCGACTTATACTTCGCCAACCCAGAACTTTCCAAACCTATGCTTAACGCTGAGAAAAGTTCTTTTTCAAATGACACCTGCTGACGTTTGTCAGGACCAGGAATCCTCAGGAGGACTCAGAAATGCCGGCCTGACGCTGGGCCAGCACCACGCAGCTGCAAAGGCTTCCTGGCCCACTCTCTCAGGTTGGCGGGGGCTCCACAGCAGCCCCGTGAGGTGGGCGGGGTGCTCTTGTCACCCCATGTTGGAGAGGAAATGGGATTCAGGAAAGGCTTCATGAGAGCCACGGAGAGAGGGATGGCCAGAGCCGGCCCCGCCCCAGGGCTGGGCGGGTCCCCCGGGCACTCTCTTTCCCGCACCACACTGCGGTTAGACGCACAGGTGCCTGCGGTCCTTCCACTGAAGGTGAGGATGGCATCGTGACCAAGGTGAAGGCAGGGCCCAAAGTGGTTCACCCGAGGTCTACAGTGGTTCGTTCTGTCCCGGCCCTTCCCAGGGTGGGCCAGAGATTGTTGGTGCCCCTTTCAGGCTATTCAAGGTACTCGGGTCCCAGGTCCACAAGGTGTACGGGACAACCGGGCTGAGAATGCTAGCACTCTCCCATCTTCCAGATTCTCAGCATCAGATAACTAAAGCAGAAGTGTTTCGGGGGGAAACAGCCAAACAACAGAATATAAACAGCAAAACAAACAGAAGACAGGTTGGGTGCGCAGGAGCACGTAACCAAAAACCCAGCCAACCAAACAAGAACCTGAGAAGTTATGAAAGAGTCCGACACTTCTCACAGGAGAGCTCGCGTCAACAACAGCCCTGAGTGTGTGAAGGGAAGTAGTCGCCAGGGCAGCAGGCAGAAGCGCACAGCTTCCCTTAATCAGACCTGGCCTGTCCCCAGCTGGTGGGGGTGGGGGTCGGGGGGGGGGGGGTGCTGGTCTTAGGACCCACCTGGGACAGGAAGGCTGGGCGCAAAGCCAACACCTCCTTGCTTAACCTTTCCCAGGAAGTGAATGGGGAGATTTACGTCGCCAGCAGGGTCCTGGAGGAGGCGTATATTATCACTCCACCTTCTGCTACACAGTGTCCCGAGTGGTTGTACTGATCCACACCCCTGCCAGCAGCGGATGAGCATTCTACTGGATCCACACGCTCATCGACACTTGACATTCTCCGCTGTTGGCTCAGTTTTGTGTTTTCCTTCCTTTTCCCTTCAGCCATTCTGGTGGTGTGTGCTGCTGTCTCACCGTGGTCTTAATGTGCATCTCCCAGAGGATGAACCTGCGGAGGCTCCTGAATGAGCGTCTTTGCAAAGGCCTTGGCAGGGGCTCTGGGCCCCCTGGGCAGAGACAGCATGAAGCACATACGTAGAAAAGCTTCATAAACAGGAAAGGATGCTCGAAACGGGAATTGAAGATAAGAAAAAGCACCGAGCTGTCAGAGGGGAGGGGCCTGGGGGGCTGGATGAAGGAAGGTGAAGGGATTAAGCAAAACAATGCATATATATGTGTATATATATATATATATATATATATATAATCTCACACCGACATAGGCAACAGCAGTGTGGGGACAGCCAGAGGGAAGGGGGGTGGGGTGGGTGGAGCTGGGAAAAGGGGGGATAAATGGGGATGAAAAGAAACTTTGCTTGGGGCGATGGGCACACAATGCGGTGCGCAGATGGTGTTTTGTGGAGCTGTACACTCGAAATGTGTATGCTTTTGTGAACCAGTGTCACCCCAATAAATACAATTAAAAAAAAGAAAAGAAGAAAGCACTGTCGGGGGAGCACTGAAAGGGGACAAGTGGGGGAGGCCTGGAGTGTGAAGAGAGTGTGCTGGGGGCGGGGTGGGTGGGGGGAGGACTAGAGCAGGGAGGGAGTGGGCTGAGGGGTGGAGGGGGCACGGGGGAGGCTTGGAGCAGGGAGGGGGCGTGCTGGGGGAGGCAGTGCTGGCAGAGGTCACCGCAGGGCAGAGAAGCCAGTTCCACGCCAGAAGGCACGCTCCTTTGTGGACCCTGCTGTGTCTCCAGGGACCTTGGGTAGGTCTGCTGTGCCAGGGCTGAAAGGGTAGCAGATTATCACCGGAAAAATGTGAACACTCGGTCCAGTAACAAGAAAACTGCCAAGCGGGACTCAGGGGAGAGTAAACACCAAACATGAAGTCCCGAAAAAAGAACAAAATATCACTACCCCCTTCTCACTCCCTCCCCAAAACCCACAGGCGGCAGTGTGACCGAAAAGGGAAGTAGAAACTGCATACACGATGCTTCTCTCGAAGGTTCGAACTCTTGGGCGAGCTTCTGTTTGTGTGATGTGAACCAGAGCCCGCCCGAGGGGGTAAAGCTGGCCTTGCTGGGTGGAGGACACTGGGCTGTGGCCGTCCTGTGGGGAAAGGGGGCTGGGGGGTGTCTCGAAGGTAAGGGGTGCCCCTGCTGTTAGGGAACCGGGACCCAGATACCTGTGCCAAAGGCAGGCAGGCATTCAAGTAAAAGTGAGTTTCTGCTCAAACCAGAGATTTGTGCAAACTCGGGTGCAAAATTTGTTCTGTGATCAGATCCCTTTTCTCTTGAAAATTTCAGAGTAAAGAGATGTAGACATTTCCTCTGTGCCTTCCTGGCCTGCAGGCACCCTGCCGTGGGTGCTGCTAGGCGTTGCCAGCTCTGCAGGAGAAGAGAGAAATCGGTGCTGACCTGTAGCATTTACTCATTTCCAATTTCCCTGGTGTGAAGACTCGGTGACCTAGTTTGAGCT